AATCAGATAGTGCTTTTCCGTATTGCTAGGAGAAGCCATGCGGAAGAAGCCGAGAGAGAATGTGATCGGAAGAAGAGAATAATGTGGTCTGCGGCTAGGTTCAGATGAGAGGAGAGATATAAGATTTAGAGGAGAGGATTAAGGTAATATATTATATAAAGATAACATCTCAGTACCGACAGCTTAGAGAAAAAAGAATAGAAAAATGGACACTCACAATCGAGTAATAAAGAATTTTGTTGTGGTCATTTTGGAAAATGTTAAAAATGTGGGTTAGAAATTTAAAGCCCCCCATTCCAGGTTCCTTTTGTGATTATCCCAATAAAATATGTGATTGCAAAAGCAAAGATGCAAAGTTCTCTTAAATCTGCACACTTGGGTTTTTAACAAACCAACTGGGATTTTAACATAACAATATTCGGTTGCTCAAGTATTGATCATGCATTGAACCTACTGAATAAATTATTTAAATTCAATATTTTTACGTCATATGTCTGAATTCTAGTTGTCCTAGTTTTATGATAAGATATATGATTTCTGACAATTCTTTTGCTGGTTACACACCCATATATGATTTATAACTTTGATTACTTCGGTATTTTGTCTGACATCGACAAACAATTAACAATATGAGATGTAAATAATGTATTTGACTTTTATAAGATTGTTTATAAAGGTTGTTGTTGAAAATGTCAAATAATATTTGACCAATTCTTGGCCTACATGAACAATATGTTAGTGACTCCCAAGTCCCAAGTATCCAACTTCATTTTCCGAATTTAATACTATGCAATCTGATGGAATTGAAACTATAAAAGGGGGTCTATACATTGCACAACATATCCAAATCATTTATCTTATATCTCAACTACACAATAGATGATAGAGATGGCCATGGCTTGGCCTCGATTACTCTTTGCTTTTGCAATATGTGTGTTGGCAACTCTAGTCCTCGCAGATCATGATGATCATTATGTTTATGCATCACCACCACCACCGAGCTATGATTACAAGTCACCACCGCCGCCAGTCAAATCACCTCCACCATATTATTACAAGTCACCTCCACCACCGGTAAAATCACCACCGCCACCATATTATTACAAATCTCCCCCACCACCAACTAAATCACCACCACCTTCCTACTACTACAAGTCACCACCACCACCAACAAAATCGCCTCCTCCCCATCCATACTACTACAAGTCGCCGCCACCACCGTCTAGGTCACCACCACCTCCATATATTTATAAATCACCACCACCATCTCCTCGTACTCCCTATATCATCAAATCTCCTCCACCACCATCACCATTGGCTCCTCCTCCTCCGTACATCTATAAATCCCCACCGCCACCTTCAATTTCACCGCCTCCTCCTTATGTTTCCAAGTCACCTCCACCACCATCTCCATCACCGCCGCCTCCTTACATCTACAAGTCTCCACCACCACCTTCACCCTCACCTCCCCCACCTTATGTATACAAATCTCCTCCCCCACCGTCACCATCGCCTCCTCCACCGTACATTTACAAATCACCACTGCCACCTTCACCTTCACCACCTCCTCCTTATGTTTACAAGTCACCTCCACCACCGTCACCATCACCGCCTCCACCATTCATTTACAAGTCGCCACCACCACCTTCACCCTCACTTCCCCCACCTTATGTATACAAATCTCCTCCTCCGCCATCACCATCACCTCCTCCTCCATACATGTACAAGTCGCCACCACCACCTTCACATTCCCCTCCACCACCTTATGTATACAAATCTCCTCCTCCACCATCACCATCGCATCCTCCTCCATACATTTACAAATCCCCACCGCCACCTTCACCTTCACCACCTCCTCCTTATGTTTACAAGTCACCTCCCCCACCGTCACCATCACCGCCTCCACCTTACTTTTACAAGTCGCCACCGCCACCTTTACCCTCACCTCCCCCGCCTTATGTTTACAAGTCACCTCCACCACCATCACCTTCACCGCCTCCTCCTTACATCTACAAGTCTCCACCACCACCTTCACCTTCACCTCCCCCCCCCACCTTATGTATACAAATCTCCTCCTCCACCATCACCATCGCCTCCTCCTCCATACATCTATAAATCCCCACCACCACCTTCACCCTCACCTCCCCCGCCTTATGTATACAAATCTCCTCCTCCACCATCACCATCACCTCCTCCTCCGTACATCTATAAATCCCCACCACCACCTTCACCCTCACCTCCCCCACCTTATGTATACAAATCTCCTCCTCCACCATCACCATCGCCTCCTCCTCCATACATTTACAAATCGCCACCGCCACCTTCACCCTCACCTCCCCCACCTTATGTTTACAACTCACCTCCGCCACCGTCGCCATCACCGCCTCCTCCTTACATCTACAAGTCGCCGCCACCACCTTCACCCTCGCCTCCCCCGCCTTATGTATACAAATCTCCTCCCCCACCATCACCATCGCCTCCTCCTCCGTACATTTACAAATCCCCGCCGCCACCTTCACCTTCACCACCTCCTCCTTACATCTACAACTCTCCACCATACTACGTATAAGAAAGATATCAAGCATATTTTCAATTAACTAACTAAGTTGTTTAAACATTCTTATACACCCTGCTTGTGAATTTCAATGTTTATGGGTACCTCATTTTCTTATTTATTTGTTGCAAACGTTTATTACTTTGTGTTATAATTTACATCTCAAAAATATTATTCAATACTTTAGTTATGTATATTGGTTTTGTTTATTTATCATGTTGACGTGTTTATGCTTTCCGTTTGTAATTTATATTCCAAGTGCTCGAATCATGCATTAGTCAACGAAATGGTATTACAAGTACAATAAGGAAAGTTGCCAGTAGGTTGAAGATTCAAGTGTCAGTTTACAAAAAGTTGTAATTTATGAGTATATTAGGGTTTTTTGAGTTGGTAGTTCAACAATGGGATCCGGTGATTGTTTCAAGAACGACCGATATTGTTGTTTATGTTGAGCATTCGCAACTGTCGAGAACAACCTAAAAAAAATCTCATAAAATTTGTGATATTTATTCATTTTGGAGTAAATACGGATATATATACACATCAAATTCCTTCGTTTCGAGGCTTTGGTTTTCTCTAATATGTATACACCTTAACTCGCAGTCCATAATACCATAAAGAAAGGTTGACACAATCCATCCGATAACCCAAGTTTTTTCTTATTTCATACCCCGTTTTCGTGACGATTTTCTAATATTTATGTCATATTTATAAGTTTTGAAAATAAACACCACCAGATTAACTTATTTCCCGGTCATAAACACAGGATTCAACATGTCAATAACATTGATCCTTCATTGGCATAAATGAACTATATGCGGATGACAACCGATTATCAACTTAATTTTCCCAATTATATACTATGCAATTTTACGAATTGAAACTGTAAAAGCGGTTTTACGGATTAAAGATAGATCTGGTCGTAACGCATATGTTAAGGGTACGTATAAGAATGAATCACAATATGATAGTTTATTTTTATATGCGAATTGCCTTCCTAAACCATATTATTTGATATTTTGCTTTTATAAACCGGACATAGTTTATAAACTAGTCACAATATGATTATTTTTAATGGAAAGGTTATCTTCTTGAATACATTCATGATTCTGAAATGTGTACAAAAACAAGCACAGCGAGTTACGTGTAATTTTACAGATAGCATGTGTGGAAGATATACGTCGAACTGGAAGTGCTTCCCTAGTAACTGTCTTCATCGTTTCTGACTTTAGAAGGTAATAGCGAAGGCAGTTCCTGAAGACCTGCCCGTTTAAGCAATTTACAAGAGGAAGTAATAGTCGGATAAAGAGCAACCACCATTTGTGATGTTGTGAAGCTGGTTGTGGAGTTGAATATATAGCCTTCGCATCTTTGTTATCGCGAAACAAGGTCTCTAGGTTTTGCCCAACCTGTCGGCAGTTGCATTCTTTAATTTTTAGGATCACCTGAAGTAGAGAAAGGGAGATGGCTCCATAGCCAGTGCAGCGAGATTCAAATACCTCCCTCCAAGTGTCCTAGTTAAAACGCTCAGGATCCCGAATTAGCATGATGTAAAGTTTGATGTTTGTAATCAGATAGTGCTTTTCCGTATTGCTAGGAGAAGCCATGCGGAAGAAGCCGAGAGAGAATGTGATCGGAAGAAGAGAATAATGTGGTCTGCGGCTAGGTTCAGATGAGAGGAGAGATATAAGATTTAGAGGAGAGGATTAAGGAAATATATTTTATAAAGATAACGTCTCAGTACCGACAGCTTAGAGAAAAAAGAATAGAAAAATGGACACTCACAATCGAGTAATAAAGAATTTTGTTGTGGTCATTTTGGAAAATGTTAAAAATGTGGGTTAGAAACTTTAAGCCCCCCATTCCAGGTTCCTTTTGTGATTATCCCAATAAAATATGTGATTGCAAACGCAAAGATGCAAAGTTCTCTTAAATCTGCACACTTGGGTTTTTAACAAACCAATTGGGTTTTTAACATAACAATATTCGGTTGCTCAAGTATTGATCATGCATTGAACCTGCTGAATAAATTATTTAAATTCAATATTTTTACGTCATATGTCTGAATTCTAGTTGTCCTAGTTTTATGATAAGATATATGATTTCTGACAATTATTTGCTGGTTACACACCCATATATGATTTATAACTTTGATTAATTCGGTATTTTGTCTGACATCGACAAACAATTAACATTATGATATGTAAATAATGTATTTGACTTTTATAAGATTGTTTATAAAGGTTGTTGTTGAAAATGTCAAATAATATTTGACCAATTCTTGGCCTACATGAACAATATGTAAGTGACTCCCAAGTCCCAAGTATCCAACTTCATTTTCCGAATTTAATACTATGCAATCTGATGGAATTGAAACTATAAAAGGGGGTCTATACATTGCACAACATATCCAAATCATTTATCTTATATCTCAACTACACAATAGATGATAGAGATGGCCATGGCTTGGCCTCGATTACTCTTTGCTTTTGCAATATGTGTGTTGGCAACTCTAGTCCTCGCAGATCATGATGATCATTATGTTTATGCATCACCACCGCCACTGAGCTATGATTACAAGTCACCACCGCCGCCAGTCAAATCACCTCCACCATATTATTACAAGTCACCTCCACCACCGGTAAAATCACCACCGCCACCATATTATTACAAATCTCCCCCACCACCAACTAAATCACCACCACCTTCCTACTACTACAAGTCACCACCACCACCAACAAAATCGCCTCCTCCCCATCCATACTACTACAAGTCGCCGCCACCACCGTCTAGGTCACCACCACCTCCATATATTTATAAATCACCACCACCACCACCACCATCTCCTCGTACTCCCTATATCTACAAATCTCCTCCACCACCATCACCATTGGCTCCTCCTCCTCCGTACATCTATAAATCCCCACCGCCACCTTCAATTTCACCGCCTCCTCCTTATGTTTCCAAGTCACCTCCACCACCATCTCCATCACCGCCGCCTCCTTACATCTACAAGTCTCCACCACCACCTTCACCCTCACCTCCCCCACCTTATGTATACAAATCTCCTCCCCCACCGTCACCATCGCCTCCTCCACCGTACATTTACAAATCACCACCGCCACCTTCACCTTCACCACCTCCTCCTTATGTTTACAAGTCACCTCCACCACCGTCACCATCACCGCCTCCACCATTCATTTACAAGTCGCCACCACCACCTTCACCCTCACTTCCCCCACCTTATGTATACAAATCTCCTCCTCCGCCATCACCATCACCTCCTCCTCCATACATGTACAAGTCGCCACCACCACCTTCACCTTCCCCTCCACCACCTTATGTATACAAATCTCCTCCCCCACCATCACCATCGCCTCCTCCTCCATACATTTACAAATCCCCACCGCCACCTTCACCTTCACCACCTCCTCCTTATGTTTACAAGTCACCTCCCCCACCGTCACCATCACCGCCTCCACCTTACTTTTACAAGTCGCCACCGCCACCTTTACCCTCACCTCCCCCGCCTTATGTTTACAAGTCACCTCCACCACCATCACCTTCACCGCCTCCTCCTTACATCTACAAGTCTCCACCACCACCTTCACCTTCACCTCCCCCACCCCCACCTTATGTATACAAATCTCCTCCTCCACCATCACCATCGCCTCCTCCTCCATACATCTATAAATCCCCACCACCACCTTCACCCTCACCTCCCCCGCCTTATGTATACAAATCTCCTCCTCCACCATCACCATCACCTCCTCCTCCGTACATCTATAAATCCCCACCACCACCTTCACCCTCACCTCCCCCACCTTATGTATACAAATCTCCTCCTCCACCATCACCATCGCCTCCTCCTCCATACATTTACAAATCGCCACCGCCACCTTCACCCTCACCTCCCCCACCTTATGTTTACAACTCACCTCCGCCACCGTCGCCATCACCGCCTCCTCCTTACATCTACAAGTCGCCGCCACCACCTTCACCCTCGCCTCCCCCGCCTTATGTATACAAATCTCCTCCCCCACCATCACCATCGCCTCCTCCTCCGTACATTTACAAATCCCCGCCGCCACCTTCACCTTCACCACCTCCTCCTTACATCTACAACTCTCCACCATACTACGTATAAGAAAGATATCAAGCATATTTTCAATTAACTAACTAAGTTGTTTAAACATTCTTATACACCCTGCTTGTGAATTTCAATGTTTATGGGTACCTCATTTTCTTATTTATTTGTTGCAAACGTTTATTACTTTGTGTTATAATTTACATCTCAAAAATATTATTCAATACTTTAGTTATGTATATTGGTTTTGTTTATTTATCATGTTGACGTGTTTATGCTTTCCTTATGTAATTTATATTCCAAGTGCTCGAATCATGCATTAGTCAACGAAATGGTATTACAAGTACAATAAGGAAAGTTGCCAGTAGGTTGAAGATTCACGTGTCGGTTTACAAAAAGTTGTAATTTATTAGTATTAGGGTTTTTGAGTTGGTAGTTCAACAATGGGATCCGGTGATTGTTTCAAGAACGACCGATATTGTTGTTTATGTTGAGCATTCGCAACTGTCGAGAACAACCTAAAAAAAATCTCATAAAATTTGTGATATTTATTCATTTTGGAGTAAATACGGATATATATACACATCAAATTCCTTCGTTTCGAGGCTTTGGTTTTCTCTAATATGTATACACCTTAACTCGCAGTCCATAATACCATAAAGAAAGGTTGACACAATCCATCCGATAACCCAAGTTTTTTCTTATTTCATACCCCGTTTTCGTGACGATTTTCTAATATTTATGTCATATTTATAAGTTTTGAAAATAAACACCACCAGATTAACTCCGGTCATAAACACAGGATTCAACATGTCAATAACATTGATCCTTCATTGGCATAAATGAACTATATGCGGATGACAACCGATTATCAACTTAATTTTCCCAATTATATACTATGCAATTTTACGAATTGAAACTGTAAAAGCGGTTTTACGGATTAAAGATAGATCTGGTCGTAACGCATATGTTAAGGGTACGTATAAGAATGAATCACAATATGATAGTTTATTTTTATATGCGAATTGCCTTCCTAAACCATATTATTTGATATTTTGCTTTTATAAACCGGACATAGTTTATAAACTAGTCACAATATGATTATTTTTAATGGAAAGGTTATCTTCTTGAATACATTCATGATTCTGAAATGTGTACAAAAACAAGCACAGCGAGTTACGTGTAATTTTACAGATAGCATGTGTGGAAGATATACGTCGAACTGGAAGTGCTTCCCTAGTAACTGTGTTCATCGTTTCTGACTTTAGAAGGTAATAGCGAAGGCAGTTCCTGAAGACCTGCCCGTTTAAGCAATTTACAAGAGGGAAGTAATAGTCGGATAAAGAGCAACCACCATTTGTGATGTTGTGAAGCTGGTTGTGGAGTTGAATATATAGCCTTCGCATCTTTGTTATCGCGAAACAAGGTCTCTAGGTTTTGCCCAACCTGTCGGGCAGTTGCATTCTTTAATTTTTAGGATCACCTGAAGTAGAGAAAGGGAGATGGCTCCATAGCCAGTGCAGCGAGATTCAAATACCTCCCTCCAAGTGTCCTAGTTAAAACGCTCAGGATCCCGAATTAGCATGATGTAAAGTTTGATGTTTGTAATCAGATAGTGCTTTTCCGTATTGCTAGGAGAAGCCATGCGGAAGAAGCCGAGAGAGAATGTGATCGGAAGAAGAGAATAATGTGGTCTGCGGCTAGGTTCAGATGAGAGGAGAGATATAAGATTTAGAGGAGAGGATTAAGGAAATATATTTTATAAAGATAACGTCTCAGTACCGACAGCTTAGAGAAAAAAGAATAGAAAAATGGACACTCACAATCGAGTAATAAAGAATTTTGTTGTGGTCATTTTGGAAAATGTTAAAAATGTGGGTTAGAAACTTTAAGCCCCCCATTCCAGGTTCCTTTTGTGATTATCCCAATAAAATATGTGATTGCAAACGCAAAGATGCAAAGTTCTCTTAAATCTGCACACTTGGGTTTTTAACAAATCAATTGGGTTTTTAACATAACAATATTCGGTTGCTCAAGTATTGATCATGCATTGAACCTGCTGAATAAATTATTTAAATTCAATATTTTTACGTCATATGTCTGAATTCTAGTTGTCCTAGTTTTATGATAAGATATATGATTTCTGACAATTATTTTGCTGGTTACACACCCATATATGATTTATAACTTTGATTAATTCGGTATTTTGTCTGACATCGACAAACAATTAACATTATGATATGTAAATAATGTATTTGACTTTTATAAGATTGTTTATAAAGGTTGTTGTTGAAAATGTCAAATAATATTTGACCAATTCTTGGCCTACATGAACAATATGTAAGTGACTCCCAAGTCCCAAGTATCCAACTTCATTTTCCGAATTTAATACTATGCAATCTGATGGAATTGAAACTATAAAAGGGGGTCTATACATTGCACAACATATCCAAATCATTTATCTTATATCTCAACTACACAATAGATGATAGAGATGGCCATGGCTTGGCCTCGATTACTCTTTGCTTTTGCAATATGTGTGTTGGCAACTCTAGTCCTCGCAGATCATGATGATCATTATGTTTATGCATCACCACCGCCACTGAGCTATGATTACAAGTCACCACCGCCGCCAGTCAAATCACCTCCACCATATTATTACAAGTCACCTCCACCACCGGTAAAATCACCACCGCCACCATATTATTACAAATCTCCCCCACCACCAAACTAAATCACCACCACCTTCCTACTACTACAAGTCACCACCACCACCAACAAAATCGCCTCCTCCCCATCCATACTACTACAAGTCGCCGCCACCACCGTCTAGGTCACCACCACCTCCATATATTTATAAATCACCACCACCACCACCACCATCTCCTCGTACTCCCTATATCTACAAATCTCCTCCACCACCATCACCATTGGCTCCTCCTCCTCCGTACATCTATAAATCCCCACCGCCACCTTCAATTTCACCGCCTCCTCCTTATGTTTCCAAGTCACCTCCACCACCATCTCCATCACCGCCGCCTCCTTACATCTACAAGTCTCCACCACCACCTTCACCCTCACCTCCCCCACCTTATGTATACAAATCTCCTCCCCCACCGTCACCATCGCCTCCTCCACCGTACATTTACAAATCACCACCGCCACCTTCACCTTCACCACCTCCTCCTTATGTTTACAAGTCACCTCCACCACCGTCACCATCACCGCCTCCACCATTCATTTACAAGTCGCCACCACCACCTTCACCCTCACTTCCCCCACCTTATGTATACAAATCTCCTCCTCCGCCATCACCATCACCTCCTCCTCCATACATGTACAAGTCGCCACCACCACCTTCACCTTCCCCTCCACCACCTTATGTATACAAATCTCCTCCCCCACCATCACCATCGCCTCCTCTCCATACATTACAAATCCCCACCGCCCACCTTCACCTTCACCACCTCCTCCTTATGTTTACAAGTCACCTCCCCCACCGTCACCATCACCGCCTCCACCTTACTTTTACAAGTCGCCACCGCCACCTTTACCCTCACCTCCCCCGCCTTATGTTTACAAGTCACCTCCACCACCATCACCTTCACCGCCTCCTCCTTACATCTACAAGTCTCCACCACCACCTTCACCTTCACCTCCCCCACCTTATGTATACAAATCTCCTCCTCCACCATCACCATCGCCTCCTCCTCCATACATTTACAAATCGCCACCGCCACCTTCACCCTCACCTCCCCCACCTTATGTTTACAACTCACCTCCGCCACCGTCGCCATCACCGCCTCCTCCTTACATCTACAAGTCGCCGCCACCACCTTCACCCTCGCCTCCCCCGCCTTATGTATACAAATCTCCTCCCCCACCATCACCATCGCCTCCTCCTCCGTACATTTACAAATCCCCGCCGCCACCTTCACCTTCACCACCTCCTCCTTACATCTACAACTCTCCACCATACTACGTATAAGAAAGATATCAAGCATATTTTCAATTAACTAACTAAGTTGTTTAAACATTCTTATACACCCTGCTTGTGAATTTCAATGTTTATGGGTACCTCATTTTCTTATTTATTTGTTGCAAACGTTTATTACTTTGTGTTATAATTTACATCTCAAAAATATTATTCAATACTTTAGTTATGTATATCGGTTTTGTTTATTTATCGTGTTGACGTGTTTATGCTTTCCTTATGTAATTTATATTCCAAGTGCTCGAATCATGCATTAGTCAACGAAATGGTATTACAAGTACAATAAGGAAAGTTGCCAGTAGGTTGAAGATTCACGTGTCGGTTTACAAAAAGTTGTAATTTATTAGTATATTAGGGTTTTTTGAGTTGGTAGTTCAACAATGGGATCCGGTGATTGTTTCAAGAACGACCGATATTGTTGTTTATGTTGAGCATTCGCAACTGTCGAGAACAACCTAAAAAAAATCTCATAAAATTTGTGATATTTATTCATTTTGGAGTAAATACGGATATATATACACATCAAATTCCTTTGTTTCGAGGCTTTGGTTTTCTCTAATATGTATACACCTTAACTCGCAGTCCATAATACCATAAAGAAAGGTTGACACAATCCATCCGATAACCCAAGTTTTTTCTTATTTCATACCCCGTTTTCGTGACGATTTTCTAATATTTATGTCATATTTATAAGTTTTGAAAATAAACACCACCAGATTAACTTATTTCCCGGTCATAACACAGGATTCAACATGTCAATAACATTGATCCTTCATTGGCATAAATGAACTATATGCGGATGACAACCGATTATCAACTTAATTTTCCCAATTATATACTATGCAATTTTACGAATTGAAACTGTAAAAGCGGTTTTACGGATTAAAGATAGATCTGGTCGTAACGCATATGTTAAGGGTACGTATAAGAATGAATCACAATATGATAGTTTATTTTTATATGCGAATTGCCTTCCTAAACCATATTATTTGATATTTTGCTTTTATAAACCGGACATAGTTTATAAACTTGTCGCAATATGATTATTTTTAATGGAAAGGTTATC